GTTGACAATATAAGAGAACAGTAAAGTATATGAAGTGATTTATGATTTAAATAATTTAACAAATGCTTCTTGACCATTTTGATTGTACATATTTTATTTGACGTTTCCAGTTGATTTTATAGTCTACAAAAAAATCTGGTATACTCTCTATCTCTGTTTATCATCACATTTACATCCATGCCTGTCCTAGAATTTCCAATTATCATAAATTTTGTTTTGCTTAAAATCAGTGATCATTTCTTTTATCTAACAATCATTCTAGTTGAGTCAAATTTTGTGAGGATCTCCAAAAAGTGCTGTTTATGCTCTCCATGACATAAAATGTGTTATCCAAAAATAAATTGAACTGTAATATATCTAATGCTCTACATCATTTTATACAACATCGTGAGTTTTGGGCCCAATATTTACCCATGTGCACCTTCCCAACCAATGCCTTGAGGCAACCTTTTGTGATTTGGTGCTATATAAATAAAATTGAATTGAATCAAATTGAATTGAAGTTGATAAAAGCTCTGGCTGTGTACTTTCTTTGATCAATACAATGTTTTGTGTTTATGTGTGTAGCAAGTCTCTATTATGTGAACGACGATGTCCACTGTATGCAGGATGGTGAAGGTGGAACATCCCTTCTGATGTATGTTTAATAAATTAAGTCAAAGCTTATGAGAATATAGAAATTTCTTGGAAGATGCAATAAACACAAGTCAGTATATGTTTATAGGAACAATATTTAATTTCAATTTGTTCTATTTTTCAACTGTATCATGAAAAATAATTAAGGTAGAATGAATCAAGATATCTGCACATTTGCAGTCATTTAACACCAGCACAGACATTTAAAAGGAATATTAACTTTGATAACTAACTTGATAACTATTAACTATGATTTTTATTATTTTTTTCTGTCTGTACTACAAAGAGATAATGTGCTTTTCTTTCTTTTGAAATTAGTTGACTTTTTATGAACCAATGCCACGGGCCATAACAGCTTTCTTTGTGTTCATCTCTGGTCTCAACAGGATTATGTAACATTTGGGTCCAAACAGTGTGATCAAAAGACCAAAACTTGAGGCAAGAATGGCAAACACCTCCACTGCATCTGCAAGTTTTCCTGGTGAGCTGATATAAGCAGGAACAAAGGCCACCCACACAGCACAGAAGATCAGCATGCTGAATGTGATGAGCTTGGCCTCATTAAAACTATCAGGGAGATTCCTCACCAGGAATGCAATTAGAAAACTGAGGAAGGCCAGCATGCCAATATAGCCCAATAACACTGCAAAACCAACAGTGGACCCAACTGCACACTCATACACTATCTTGTCATTGTGGTATTGGGTGTTTTTATGTGGAGTTGGAGAGGAAGAGACAAGCCACGTAGTGCAGATGGCTGCCTGAATAGATGTCAGAAATAGAACTGTTCCTCTCTGCTGCATAGCACCAAACCACTTCAGACTGGCTCCCCCTCCTGGCTTGGAGGCTTTGAACACAGCCAGAACAACCATGGTTTTTACCAGGATACATGAGACACACAGCACAAAGCTGATCCCAAATGCTGCGTGTCTGAGTTGGCATGTCCACAGCCTGGGTCGTCCGATAAACAGCAATGAACAAAGGAAACACAACTTAAGTGACACTAATAGCTGGAAACTAAGTTCTGAATTGTTGGCACGTACTATAGGTGTTGTGCGATGGCAGATAAAGATCCCCAGAACAACAGCACATATAAATGTTCCCAGTAAGGAGGTTGTTGTCAAACAAATACCCAGAGGGTCAAGATAGGAGAGGAACTCTGTCTTCTTAGGAATACAGTGGTCACGCTGGGGGTTTGACCAAAAATCCTCTGGACAACTGGTGCACTCCAAGGAGTCTGATACAAAAGGGAACATTGGTGAAATGCACATTATTCTTCATAATATTGAAATTAAATATGTCATGCAAAAACAAAAATACATACTGGTCTTATTAGTAATTTTCCCTTCAGAACAAGGGATGCAGTCAAAACAGCACTGGGGTTTCCCCTTCTCTCTCACCATGTGGGTACCAGGAGGACAGCTCTCACTGCATACTGATTGAGGTGGCTATAGGATGAAATCAAATATTAGCCTTTACACTGATATATACTAGACATGTGGCAAAAGTTAAATCTAAAAAAACATATCTAACCTTTTTGGATTCAAGGTTCCAGAAGATTTTGTCTTCATCAAGTATGAGTTCTTCACCTTTGAAAGTTGACCTTTTAACCTCACCCACATTCTGAACTTTAGTGCTTCCATCAGGGAGCCACAACCAGTTCATCACATCATAAATTGGCAATGCATCACCATTCTCATCAAATGACACTTGATCTCCAAACGGAGTGGTGAAGTTTACCCATCTTAAGTAATAAACCAGCTGTTAAAAAGGGATGCATAACAAGTAAATTACTTACTCAGCTGTAACTTTCCAGCTGCCAGCCACACATACACAATAACGACAACAACTTCAGTCAGGACCCAGTACAGACTTAAATGCAATGGAGGCGTGATGAGCTGCTGCAACTCTGGTGTGTCAGCCTCCCTGCAGTGGCGCCACAAATCATGCCCCGCCACATACCCCCATGGCTTGACTGAGGCTGGGGAGCCATCCAGCTGACCCCTCCTACCACACATACATACTCGCACGAGTAGGTGAGGAAATCAATCACAACCGGTGGTGTCCCCAGCCCATGCCCCAGCCCATGCCCCAGCGACATGGATGTTTGAATCTGTGGGCTCACTGTGGGGCATGCGGTGTGGCGCAGCAGGTGTGGACCAGACTCACCCTGGGGACCAGCATGCTGCCAGAACAGATCAGACACCAGCCACTCACATGCGGTCGAGGGACGTCAGTAAGGGCAGTGGTGGTAGTGGTAAGGACCCGATCTAAGCTGCCAGACTCTCTATCAACTGCATCCGGCAGTGGGATCTGTCCTACAGCTGTTTCAACTGCCGGTGAAACACCGCTACCTGCTCCCTCTGTGTAGCCGGGAGCTTGGCCATCACAACCTGGCTGGCCCGGTCGCGGTTCCACCATGCCCCAATACTGGGTTTTGATACCACTGTAAACGATGCATAGCTGACCCGACCACATTGTCACACTTTTATTTCTAGTTTCTGTTTTTATAATACTCAGCTGCAGCTTTTTCAGCTGCCGGCTGCCACAACGACAATAACTTCAGTCAGGACCCAGTACAGACTTAAATGCAGAGGAGGCGTGATGAGCTGATGTCAGCCTTCTGGCAGCATCGCCACATACCATGCCCCGCCCCCATCCCCCACCCCCACCCCCACCCATTATTAAATAAAGAAATCTATATTACATCGCTAGTAATGCTTTATAAATACAAGCTTCTGATCTAAATATATTAACTGCTAATTTTTTGTGGGTGTCAGCATACCAAACTAACTCAATTGACTCAGACCCGAAGTTCTTCAAATGAAAAGTCAAAAATGTATTTACAATCACCATGTAAAATATATCCAAAGTGTGGGGGTTGGGATATCCAGGGATCCATGGATAGGAGGGGGAAAAGGTCCATACAGAGCGTCTTAATCACACACGCCATGCACTTTTCCAGTGTCACTAGATTAAATGTCACTCCACAACTCCACAACTCCGAAACTGGGAGTATGTAAAATCCATTTAGCTCACACCAGCTTTTTCATAGTTAATATTATCACATTGTATTTAGTTCTATGTGGTAAATTCTATCCTGAAAGTAATTATAAAGGAAAGAATTTATAAACAGAGTGTAAAATGATATCACACCTGCCAAGGCTCCAGTGACTGCAAAGTGGCACAGCTGTTCCCACTGAAAGGCCCTCTTCCTGGCTTGCACCGC